GGGGCCTTCACACACTGCTGGATAGAAATGTTCTTCTGCTACTCAGCACTGAGACAAGTTTTATGGATAGAGGGCAAAAAGTTCTTTTTGCTGCTTCCTATAGTGGATCTTGACATTGGTAGTCTATCTTCTTTCATAAGCAGAGCTCCCACAGACTTTAAAAGGAAACCTGAACATTTAGGCAGAGAAGAACATTGGATTCAAGGTCCACCCATGCAGATCTGAAGATAATTTTCATTAGCTAGGAAGTCAAACACAGAGATAAAAAGTTTTGACAGAGTCATCTTAACTTGGTTGGGAGTTTCTGATGTCTATAGCCCAGAAAACTGTAAAGCGCTTGAAAACCTAGTTATCAGGAGGGCAATTTCACTCTTTATGTAGCGTTTCACATTTGAATGCTAAGTAACCACTGGAGGGGAAAAAAAATTACACATTCAACAAAGGAACTCAGCTGCAACTATTAGGCGGTTCCCAAGCATATGAAACTTAAGCTGTTTCATTTAAGTGCCCTGCAAGTCTGGGTGCCAACCATGACATTATAGTCCTTTTGCCACTGGTGATATTGCTGCCTATCAGAGAAAATACACATTAGCACCAGAATATAAGAAACATCCTTGATATTGAACCATCAAGTCCACATCCCATCCTTCATGCTGTGGAACACTTGTTCCAGCAGGGGACTCCACTTGACCAAGACAACACAGCAGCAAGTCACTAATACGTAATTGTCATGCAATGGTGATTAATTAGGTAACATCTGACCAATAGCTGGGACTCTCAGCTGCCTTTGCCTGCCTCAGCACACAAACACACTTGCAACTCCCGCATTAATCCAAAAGGTACCCCATTTCCTCCAGCAAGCACAGGCCAAAGGGGGTGATTCCAATCTGTTGCTCAGCACAGTGTGGAGCTACAGCATTTCCATCTACTCTAGTGTGCACAGCATGCCTGAAATTAGACCCAAATCTTTGTTTTTGCAAACAGCATACCACACACATTGCTGTAATGCTACAAAGAAGACCCAAACACAGCCACCTCCATTTTTCTTTTTAAGATTCCCATTGTGTCTGCTTTGTACATAGTGTGTATTTTACTTTGTTTCAAAAAGTTTGATTTTAGGATTCTGTGCATCTATACACTTGAAAAAAACATCATGAGTTATGACTGACTGATGTACAGCTGTTTAGGGATCAAAATCTTATTTCCATTGCTTAATCACTGCTGTTCATTAGCTTATTAACAGACGTCTGTTTATTGACTCTGCTTTGTGCCAAAGTGCTTACAGCAGCAACTCTGCAGTCCCCAGTGGAGGCTCTCCATACATGTACCACAGGTAATAATTCCTGCTGAGGCAGCATCGTGCTGTTCTTCCAGCTGTACTGGTGCCATCCTGAGAAACAGGGTCAACGCTGGCATCTCATTTATTTCCTGATGCTTGGCTTGCAACCTCTTCCCTCTGGAGATAGGGCTGCTCACAAGAACACTTTACTTTTATTGCTCCTGTTAAGCTCTTTTGTTCTTCAGTGGAGGCTGCTCAGCCCAGAAAGACCCACAGCTCAGGCTCTCCAGCAAAAGCAGCGTTTTGGTTTGCTTGGAAAAATGGCCCTTCTCTGTTTGTCACTGCTGGATTTGCACCTCCCTCACCCAGTTCCATAACAAAACTAACAAGGAACTTGCAAGAGCAGCGATTTTTTTACTGCTGTGCCTCTTTCATCCCCAGAAACACTGCCCCACCTCAGCAGCAGGCAGAAGGGCCCAGCTCTTCAGCTGCACAGTGGAATCTTGCTCAGGGATTTCTGCAATTACTCAGGAATGTCCTTGCTCTGCGCTTGCAGATACATCTTGATTCACTGGCTGTCAGAGACAATTCTGTTTCATGTTTCCCCAAAAGATTACTGGATTTTGATTAAGAAGGGTCAAGGGCAGCTCTTTCCTTTCAATATAAAGAGAATGACTTGAGGAAAAAAAATTATCATCACCTAGCACTAGGACTTTTATCTCCACTTGAAAAATTAAATTGCCTGAACTGATAGAAGTCTCAGGGCAGGGTATGCACAGAAATGTTTCCATGCAAATAAAATCCTAAATAATTCATCTACATACTATAATTCTACATCCCCCAAAAACTGTGGGGTTTTTTTTGCAGATGTCTTAGCAGGAGAACAAAACACAAAGCTCTCGTAGCCAAGACTCAAATAATACCCATTTTCCAGAACAATTTTAAATGCATATTGTATTACTGACCCAGCATACCAGAGATTTATATTCATCCTTAACACTTCGATACATTCCCCAAAATAACCTCCCCAATATTTGATTTTCCTTTGAAGAAAAATGTTTCAGAGATATAATTAGCTCTAGCTGCAGACTCCAAATCTCTGCCTGGCACTGCTCTCAGTAAAACACACCTTCAGCCAGTGTGAAACTGTTATAGCTCACTGAATATGCTACGTACAACTGAAGTACTTTACACCAGCTGAGGATCTAAGTATATATGCATAAATGAGGGAAAAATACATTTTTACCTGGAATAATAATGCTGCAGAATACACAGGATCTCAGGCTAATTAAAACAAATGACAAGTTCATAAGAAAAACATTTTTGCAATTGAGTTTAAGGCAGTAAACAACCACTGTTTTTAACAGAGAATCAGATGCATGGTGGGTATCCCTACATTAATTAGGAATAAGACTGTCACATGGATTTTAATGAAATAAATTTATATCTATGGCTCCTCCAGGATATTAAAGTAAATTTATGTGAAGAAGACAAGTAATGGCTAGGTTTTTGTTGTGTGAGAAACGACCCTCATTTTCAGAATTTCAAAGGTTTATTAAAGCTTAACAAAAATACAGCAAAAGACTGAATAAGGAGAAAGAGCAGCAATGGGAGCACAGTACTAAACTACTATGTGCTTGCCTATAAAATGGATGCTCTGATTTCTACGCCCCTAGGCCCTCCCAAAGTCTTTTTTGTTAACTCCTTCTCTGCAGTCCATTGGTGGAGACTTTCTTACATCTTGATTGGAGGTCAGGTGTAGTACCAAACCAGCCCTCCCCAAATGCCCCCACTACCCCAGCTATCTCATAACAACAATACAAGGGGGAGGGGAAGGGGACTAGGGGACGATATAATACAACAACATATACATCCACAAAACTTATCTTAATATAAACACACTATTCATCCCTTAATTGTGAGAGCCGACCATCACAGTACTCATCTGTAAGAGCAGGAATTGGAACAGTTCATTAAGGAAGGTAGCAGGAGTTAACACCATCTGAACAAGCTCTTATTTTTTAAGGTACAAATTCTGAGACTCTCCATTACCAAGTCAGAATTGCAGAAATCCAGCAGGTTGATAGAAAACAACACAAATTACTGCCCTCACACTAAAGCATCATATATCTTGCGGCTGTAAGCAGAAAGTACAGACAGCACTGAAATAAAATACTCGCAAAACCATTTTTCTCAGATACAAGCTCTCAAACATATTTATCTTGATGCATTTGGCCATCTGGACATTACCTACAGCATAGCTTAGGATAACTAATGCTCCACATCCTGTGCTGCTAAATGCCACACCAAAAATTTAAATGGGGGGCTTTTAGCTCTCTTAGTCCAAAACAAAGAATGCCAAGCCCATTAGTACGTAAGAAGGCAAACATCAGGTCTCTGTCACTGGATGTGACAATCCTCAACTGCACTGAGCAGTTCCACAACCAGCCAGCTCCAAAAGCTAAAGGTTTACACCTCCCCTCACCTGTGGAAATTCATTAGACCAGTCCTCAGAAAAATCCACAGAACACACTGGAGCTATCTTAACCTGACAGTCTTATTTAGTGTTTCAGTGGTCAAAGTACTCATTTCACACACATTAACTAAAAATTCAGATTCTCCTGCTATATCTTAAGAAACACGAATTCCAAATTAAATATTTTATTTAAAATAATTAGTTTGGATAAAACACATGAAGTTTCTCTTTGGGGTCTTGCAAGAGGTAAGGCTAATGAGAGGAAACACCTTAGCCCTTCCCACTACCAAGGCTCTGTTTGATGACTGACATTCTACACAACATTCTACACACAGACACTCTAACATGTAAGTTTCTGGTTTTCCACCTTTCACACCAACAGTTTCAGCACAGATAATTGACGCTGCTCGCCTTCCTCGCCCACTCCGCCTGGGCCACCGGCTAGCTCCGGCCAAGCCCGCGTCAGGAGCGGCCTCTCCCCAGGTACCCGCAGAAACCCGAGGCAGAGATGTAGCTCCACGCTACCGCTTGGCCAATCCGTCCAGGGAGAATGAAGAGTGCAGCGGAGACCCTTTACGGTTCCCAAGGAAAGAGTTAATAAACTGAAAGAATCAGGAGTAGACCACAACTCGGGAGGAAAAACCACAAAAGGCACAGAATTCCCCTGTGCGCCAACTTGAACACGGGGTAGGTTCTAGGGGAGGGCACAAAACATCGGCCAATCGCGGTAACTTGGGGGACGTACACAAGGCCGGGAAACTTACACAGTAAACCAATGAAGGAATACAAGGGCGGGAACGCAGTTACAGCATCAAATCATACACCGAAGAAGGGATAACTGACTTAGAACATCCTAGAAATATGGGAGAGGCTAGGGAGGATTGATAGGGCTCCGGATGGAGATTGGGGAGATGGGCAGGGCACGATCTGGAAGGTAGGTGGGGAGTAGGGTTGAAGGACAAGGGAAAGGCGGGAAGGGATTGAACCATTTTACACAGAACTCAGGGGAGTAAACCGAGAACAAACCATTTAACATAGGGAAGAAACAACACACCGCAACAGATAATGAAATTTAATGATTTACTCGCTACAGAAGACCACGGAGATGTTTCACAGTATGGGCCTGATGCTCTGTGTGGCCTTTTCAGAAGTGTTACAAGCTTGTGCTTGAAAACACAGCTGCAGAAGTTCCCTCTGACTACTTCAGTGCCATAAGGGCTGCAACAAGACAAAGGCAATAGCTAGTTTTGATACAAGCAGGATTTTTATTCAATCCAAATGTTTTCTGTACAACAGAAAGGTTTTATACAAAAAAAAGAAGCATTAATTCAGTTGCAAGAACAGGCATAAGGAAGTTTCTGAACCCTAGTGCTTTAGAAAGTCACGAATTTTTTGGAAAAACCAACCATGTATAGTATTGTTATAGATGTTATAATCCTGGTTTGGGTCATTCTCCATCATGTACAACTCTCCTGCATGGACATCCTCAAAGTTAGCACTGAAGTTGTTGGGATCAAACTGCACCCACACAGTGTACCTGTAGTCAATGGTACGCATGGAATAGCCCATGATCCTGATGTCTTTCAGCTTTGGTTTGTCAGAGTTCCACTGGGGAGTGTCTGCAGGCCGGGGATATTGGCTGAAAGCAAAAGGTTCTTCCTTAAAACACCAGTCAGTGTCATCACACCCTTCCTTGCCTTCCTCCACCATTCTTTCAGAGATATTAAAATAGCGGACAAGGCTTGTCCCCTCAGTGCACAGCACAACACCAAATGACATCTCTGGGCACGCAGGAGGAACCTGCAGGCCAGCAAGATCTGCAAGCGTTGAAAACAGAGACACCAGCTCCACCACTTTTTCAATTTGCCCTAGAGGAAATAATCAAAATATCAGTTATGGAACAGAGTGGTTGGACAACAACTTTTTCTAATAATTCAGTTGGTTTTTTATTCAAAGTGCTTTGTACAGGAATTTTGGGGGTACCAAAATCAAGGCAATTAAGGAGTGGCAGTTAGCTGTGAAGATGCCAGTCCATGCACTTATGATGTACTTTTAACAAGAAAGCACACTGCACTTATGTTTCTCCAATAGCCTTAGATATAATCATATCCATTTTTTTGAAAAAGAGCTCTTCAGAAAGACAAAGTAAATTCTCAGGGTGCCTGGAGATACATCACCGACTCTATGTACCCATTGCAAACAAATATAAGCACTGGAAATTTACCTTGAGGTGCTGAGCCTCCAGTATGGCTAAAAGGGTCGAGGTAAGGGAAGACCCTTGCTCCTTGACTGACAGGGGAAGTTGTCATTCCTGGGACATAAAACATCAGTGGCACTCTGGTCGCAACATCAAAATTGCTGTATTTTGCCCATTCACCATGTTCTCCCAAGGACCACCCTAGGTGACAACATAATTCAGAGCAGATACTGGTTTGTAATCTAGTAATCATTTCTTCTTCATTGTAAACTGACTCTGTTGAGGCCAAGGTTATATTAAAAGGTAAATATTCTGTATTTAGATGTAACAGGACTTTTCTCTAATATGGAAGCTATTTCAACAGCTAACTAAATCTTGCAACTTGATACTACTCTTTTATAAAGGAACTAATTCCACCTTTCCTTGTTTTCAGATTGTCAAGATTAGAATCAGGAAATTAGCATTAAAACAGCAGAAAAGAGGAACTGGGGTGTGACACAGTGCCTGCAAAGTCTCCAGATCAATTCCACAAGGCATTAATTTAAGTTTTGGGCAGCTGCCAGCTCTCCAATACTCCTGTTAACACTGTACATCCCTTGGATGTGAAGGCTGCTCTCTATGCCAGACTGCCATATCAGGATGCTACCCTTGAGGAAGCAACAGAGATAAAACTTTTCAGCTCTCCTCTTCCTCTTGAAAGAGATGCCAACATGAATTCCTTCCAGGCAGATACACTGCCAACTTCACTTTGGGGGAAGACAAAGGAACTCTGTTAACACATGTTAACATATGTTTTTTTCTTGATCACTTTGCCAGCCATGGTACTAGAAACGCCAACTGTTTACAGTTATCCAAAGCAAGGAAAAGAAAAATTCAGTTTACGAACAAGTCAGAAGGAACATCTAGAGTCACTTTAGCACCAAAAGTATTAATGCCATTGCTCTGCAACTTGTAAGAGCTTGTTTATACACACATGCTCACAGATTAACTCATTAACTATATATGTAACTTTAAACTGATGCAGTTAATTCACATCCTAACTGGTTTAAATCAGCTAAGCCATCCCACAATTAAACGGATCATGGTTATTTTAATGAATATTAGAGTATTGAAACAAGCATCAAATGCTTGAGGTATTTATCCTACAGTTCAAATTAAGCTTTTTACCACTAGGATCCAGAGTATGCATAATCTCAGTTATGAGAGGGAATCATATCCCTATCAGTTAAATGCTCTGCAAGCAGCAATGACAAGTGTAAGAAAACACACTTGAGCAGTTAATGAGAAAGCCTGTTATCCACTGTACCAGATGGCTTTCTACAAATGGTAAGGGGGAAGAAGTGGTGGCCATACTTAGCTCCCAGCAAGAATCACTCCTTGCGTGGGGGGTGGGAATACAGAGAGCTCAGCCCCATGTCCTGGCAGGCAGCCTCATCCCTTACCAGCAAATCCTCAACCTGATTAAAGTACCCATGAGGACAGAAATGTGCAGCCACATAAGCCAGTGCCAGTTCCCTCAATCTGGCTCAGACAAACCAGAAATACAGGGTATGATAGCTCTGCTTGACACTATAGAAACACACACTGGATTAATATGCCAGCACTGAGTTGCACAATGAAGTTCTTAACAGTAAGCTCAGAAAGATTTAAATGCTTACCATGATCAGCAGTAAAAACTACTATTGTGTTATGTGAGAGTCCTACATTATCCAAAGCATTTAGAAGCAGGCCAATTTGCACATCCAGGTAAGAAACTGCTGCATAATAACTCTGACGAATCTTCCGCTGCAAGTTAAGAAAACAGGAGAGAAAAAAAAAGTTTCTCCCCAGACACATACAACAGAACCAGGGAGTGGCTGTGTGAAAGAACTAAAGGACTCTATTTGTAAACCTTTCATTTTAATTGTCTGTAGCCCAATTAATGTCCCAGAAAAGGTAAACTGGGAGGGGGCAGTTGGAAAATTCCATCTCCCAGAATTGCTTTCAAGCAAAACACTGCAAACCAATCCATTCTGCATCTCTTGGTCTAGCCAGTGCACCTAACTTTGGTGTAAGCACTGGAGAGTCAAGGAAAATCTTGCAAAAGAAGATACACTGGGTGCTGGCTTGAAACAGATAAACAGACTCAGATAATGAACACAACACAGCATTGGTAGCTGCTACATCCATTCCCTCACATGCAAACTGAATGGCAGTGACAGTGAACGCTTGCCTATAGAGCTAGAGGTGACAGTATACAAGGCAGGGAATTCATAACTGCAAATGGTCAGTTGCTGAATAACTGGGAGGATCCAAGAGCAGCTGACTCCTCCCTTGCATTCGAACAAGTGAAGGCAGTTTGACTTCAGCACACTGTGTTGACAGCTTACCTGGAAATCATCTGGAAGTGGTCCATAAGGGAAACTAACATTTAATGCTTCCACATCATCCCTCTGTCTGATATCCATCCAGGGGTTGTATGCCACAGAAGGTAGTTTCTTAGGCACCCAGGGATCTGGGGCCAATGTAATATTTTCCAAGGGGTACAACTTGAGAAATTCCTTTACAACACAAAACACATATAAAGACTGTCCTCACCTCCAACAGATACTGTGAATTTTGTGTTTAAAAAGCAATCATTTTCCCTTGCAGGACCCTTTAATGTTACAGTTTACAAAGCTTCCTTCCCCTTCCTCCAGAGTGTGAAACACAGCAATACTAGACATCCCCAACCAATTCCCGAAAAATACTGAGTTAACAAATACCTAAACCCAGCCTCCTGTATCTCAAAAACAACACTGCAATAAAAGGTCCAATACCACTTTGAAATTGGTAGAAGTTTTGCCACCATGTCAAACAGAGAATGAAATATAAGAACTCATTATGTCATACTCCATCAAGCTAAAGCCCATCTCCATGCAGCAGCAGTCACCATTATGGTGGCAGAAGCCTGGCTTTTGGCTGAGGAGTCACAACTCATTCTCATTAAACGTTCTGAAATACATCACAGGTGACTCCTGAAGTTACACCAAATCAAGGCTGGTTTCCAACTTGCTTTCCAGAAACAGCAATAAAGCATTTGTGGGAACAGCTTTTAAAAATAAAAGCAACTAAGTTCCCTTTCCTGCAGGTTCGTCTCCTCACCTGTGGGTACCTCAGTGGGATATGTGGCTTGTGGTAACCAACAGCCAGGAAGAACTTTTGTCTGTTGGTTTTCATGATATTCAGTAAGTGTATGGCCTCCTCAGTGCTCTGAATATCAGGTAGAGTACCCCCAGGCATTTCTGTCACATCCACTGGGCACACCAAGTTCACATAAAGTTTTCCATCTTCTCCCCTACAAGTCTTCATGGGAAAAAAAAAGTTAGTTCAATAACTTCTGTTAAATACAAAGACAAAATCCTCTGTTCTGTAACTTTAAAACGAATTTGTTTCTACCAACAAAATAATACAATTTCTATGCCTATGAAAATGCAGAAATCCTCTCTAAAGCTGGGTAGAAGATTAAATGTAGTCACACGGGTCAAAAGGCCTTTTATAATTAATAGAATCTCCGATCTAATAAGAGATGCAGCAGCATTTGGTTATCCTATAAAGACATATATTTTAATTCCTTCTGATCCCAAGAGTTCATGGAAAACTACCTGGAAGCTACTGACTTAGTTTCTAAGAAATTGCCAGCAGTGGCTGATGTGTAATGGTTGAAGAGAGATAAATTAGACTAAACAGTGGCCAGGGAAAGGTGGCCTTAGCAAGGTGTTTGGGAGCAGTGCAAAATGAACATACTTCTCTTTAGGTCATGGATGCAAATGTTGCTGTTGTTAAAATCAGTCTTTTCTGGCAGTAAAAACAAGACCAAAGCACTGACAAGACTGTCTGTACCCTCATGACTGCAGCTCCTGCTGGGCAGTGTACAGACTCCAACACACAACACTAATGCAATGTTTGCATATAGATAAACCAGATTCTTTTGTGTCACACTTAAGAGTAACAAACATTATAGAAAACTGGATCAGATTATAAAGTTTCAGATTATTTAAACATTATTTTAATTATGGTCCCTGCTCACTCAGTCCTGAGCTCTTTATCATATTAAGTTTACCAAGACTACTGACAATGTTTTGTCACTAACTAAAGCAAAGCCAGATGAGTTGCAGGTGCAAGTTGACAACCAAACTTTTCAGATAAAGGAATTCATGACCTAGACACAAAGAGGGATCATTCTTGCTCAGTTTCCAAATACCAATTTAGAAATACTTATAACATCTGCAGGATGGGCATCGATTAACAAAACACACACGTGGTAATCCAGGCCTTCGTTCGGAAAGCACAGAAACAAAGCATTGAAGTGGTTAGCTGTTTTTACTGCACAAGGGTGCAGCCTCAAAACCCAGAGAGCACAGCTTGTCCTTGATACAAAGAACTTGGTTATATCCTGAACACCTTTCTCTGTTAAAGTGCCACAAATCACATTTACCTTATCATTCTCATGCTTTTCAGCTGAAGGATGAAAGGGTGGAATGGACCAACTGTAGGGATAGTCATCACTGTAATTGGATGAAACCCCTGGAATGGATAAAGACATTAAAAATGCTCTAATAGTTCACTGAACCAGGAAGAGCTCAGACACCAGTTTAACTTGTCTTCAATTGTTTGGGTTTTTTTCAAATATGCTAAATGAAGAAACATTTCAAATTATTCTTTCACAACTGAGGAAAAGACAACCAAGAAATGAAAGTCAAAAAGTTTAAGCCAGACACTTTTCCCCTGAAATACACCTTTTATTAGTGAGGGAGGCTCAAGCCTGTTGAAGAGCCTTACTTCAGGAACACCAACAAAAAAACCCAAAAAACAAAACCCAAACCAAATTAAAAAAACAAAACACCCAGGATTAATAAAAGTCTTCATGCATATCCTTGATTAGCTTTACTATAAACTGAAACACATACTGACACTATCCACACAAGTTTAGTTCTAGGATAAGGAACTGCCAAAAAGAGGATCAGTATTACAATATTTTTCAGTAATTATTCAGTAATATAATTCAGTAATGTTACCACTTTTTAACTAGTGAACTAATTTCCTACTGAACTTGAAGCATTAGTCATATATTCGACACGTTTTGATCCAGACTCATAGCCTACTAGGAAACGTGGAGCATGTACAGGCAGAACTAAGCCAACAAGTAATTTCATTTTCAGCAGATGTCTAACTTCCAGATGTATTTTTAGAATGTTAGACATTTATTCCCACAGTTCCCAGACAAGATGTGAAAACATCCATTAGATAAAAGACATCTAATACATTCATCTCTAATGCCTTAAGACTTAATGAAAACCACTGTAAAATCTGGCTTATGATTATGATTTAGGTTCTTAATATAGGTGAGAATCACACATCAATACTTACGTAAGTTTGTGAGACTATACACATCAAGAATTTCTATGTTAAGCAAATGACAATTCAAACCATACCAGGATGAAAAACTTTCCCCACAGATAGGGTCACGTAGCCATTTTCCTTGAAATACTGGGGCATAGTGGAATAATTTCCTGCATGAACTCTCCAGTAGGAGTAGAAATCGTAGAGCCGGGTGGTGTCTGGCCTGCGGCCAGTGAGAAATGACACTCTGCTGGGAGCACACACAGCTTGCTGAGGAGAAAGACAGCAAAGACGAAATTTGGAAAAAAAACCCAAAACACATGTACGAACTAACTAGGGCATAGTGATGCCTTAAGTTTTAGCTTTCATATTTTCCAGATTCTATACTGCATTAGTGTATGTGTCTGAACTTTCATATAAAGTGTTAGCAAGTTCTCTTCACAGTTTAGTTAGACAAAACAATCCTTCTCCAGCCTGAGAACCAAGGACACCATTGCAACTTCAGGCCCAAAAAGTATAAACAGCAGCAAACTGAGGAGAGCAAACTGTGAGGATGGGACTTCATAACCTGGAGCTGTAATTGGACAATTAACCCCAATATGTAAACAGCCCAAAACTTATAGAAGTGTGAAAACATGTGATCCATCGTCCATCTTGGGTGTAGCCTCAGACAGGCTCTTGTACTGTCCAAGGTGTAGCCTTTGAAGGCCTTTTTAATAAATACCTACTTTATTCCTTTAACACTATCTAGGCTCTGTCCTAGGTAGCCTCTCCAGGCATCAACAGCTGGGCCATCTGAAAACTCAGGAGTCACAGGGAACAAGTTTCATAAAACTTCAGGCTGGAATGAACAGTATTCTTATCAAGCATACCAATTCAAAACTGCAAGCTTTTAAAAAAAGCAAGTCAGGTTCCATAAAGGCAGTGCTTTTGAAATCTGGTTGCTCACATCACACAGAATTAAGAATCAGTGGCAGGTGGACTGTGCTGATAAAAGCCAAAAGCCTAGTTGCTCTGGACTGCCTTAAGAATAAAGAAAGGATAAACATAAAAGGTCCGGATTATGGTCCAAAGGTCTGACCAATTCTGCTTCAGACTGAAAAAACTCAACAGTTATTGCTTTGAAGTCCTATTCCCTAGATGGAATTAGACCCAAACTTCTGATTTCTGAACAGAGAGGAACTTCGGAATATAGACAACCTATGCAGAGTATTCAAGTGAAGAGCAATTAGTGACATTTTGAGTCCTCTGTTTTAGAGTTTAGCTTCCCCCAAAAACTGCCTCTTTATAGGAATCTATAGAATTGATTTCCTCAAAAGATTAAAAACTAAAACATAATTTTTTATAAACAGTAGAAAAAGAGAATTTTAATTTAGTAAAATGGCGTTTTTAAGCAGCACTTGGCTGCTAACAGTGAAAATACTTGAGTGGCAATCTACTCCTCCAAGGGCTACACAAATACCATAATTTAAATGCTCTGTTTTCGTTTTTCTCACCTTAGTAAAGATAGGTTTACACACTACAGTTCAGCCCAATCATTTATTTTCTACTGAAAATGCTTCAAGTTAATAAATATTTGCTTTTTCCATTGGCCTGACTAACACCTACTGTATAAAACCAGTAATTATTTCGCACAGAGAAAACATGTTTAAGTAATTTATCTCACCTGGGCATATGCATTGCTGAACACTATACTTTGGGAAGCAAGTTGATCAATGTTGGGAGACTTCACAAGCTTATCTCCGTAACAGCCCAACACAGGACGCAGATCATCCACAATTATAAACAACACATTCATGCCATCTATGAAGGAACAGAATTAGAAACAAATTAACCTGATCTCCAACCAGTAAGTCAACCTGAGAGGTTACTTTATGCCGATTTATCCGTTTTTAACCCTTAAATACATTTGATTACAAAAATAAAATTAGCAACAAAAATAAAATGAGCAAGAATATCTTTGTAAGAGAATGTAAACAATGGGATTAATTCTTCAAGACAGAAATTCTTATTTGGCCTAGACAGAAATACAGTGGTTTTCATTTCCCTTCCTATTTCATTGCTTGTACCCTTGGTAATTTCTCCAGCTGCTACAGGTGGCTAAAATAGGGTGGTGGAAAATAAAGAGGTATTTTACAGGTCTACCTACCACCGAATTCTACGGCCTGCAAGCTTTGAGAAGGGTATTAAACCATAGGTAAACAACACTGTAGTCCTGTATAATTCTGCTCTCAACAGATAAAACTATTTTTCAATTAATTACACACGTCTTTTTTAAACGCCCTCTCAAGGCGGCGGACTGTACTGGGGGCTCAACGTGCGCACGACTCACTCGCCGCCGGCGAGCGAAGCTGCAGCCTCCCTCGGGACAACACCGAGCTCCTCGGCCCCGGGCTCCCGCCGCCCGCTCCCCCCAGCCCAGCTCCCGCCGCCAGAACGAACCCCCGGGCCCGCGCCCAGACCCGGGCGCCGCCGCCGCCGGACCGGCCGCGAATGCACCACGAGGCAGCCGCAGCAGGGACAGGAACAGGAACAGGCACAAGCACAGGCAGAACCGAGCTGCCGCCATGTCCCAGCGAGGCGGCGGGGCAGGACAGAAGCGGCCCGGGGGAGGCATCTTGAACCATCGCCGGAGCCTGAACGCCGCCGGGAGCGGCCCTTTCCCCTCCCACTTCCCCTCCCCCGCGCGGAGGCGCCGCTGTTCCGCGAGCGAGCGGCCCCGTGCGCGGCGGTGGCCCGGCGGGAGGGGGGACTCCGAGGTGCGGGGATGAGCCCGGCCGGGACTGGGATCCAGCGTACGCACTGTGCGGGGCTGTTCAGGGCGCAGCGTTGCTCCTTTCGGTTCCTGCCGACGTTTGTTCTTGCACGAGTCTCAGCACCCGCCGCAGCTCCCGTGGAAAAGGAATGTCAGTGGCATTCTCAGCGTTATTTCTTTCTCGTGGAAATAACGTTGGAGAATGAGGAAATCAAGGTTTAGGACTGAGAGAAGCCGTCTGAGTACTTAAATTCTATTTGTGAATCAGTTAACACTCTGTGTGGTGTTTAAAGAAACGTTCAGTGTTTCCGGTCACCCAGATCTCCCGCAAGCCGCCTGCTGGTGCGCTCTCTGCGGAGCGAGGGAGTCGCCAATACATGAAAAGTTACATAAGCTAAAAAGCTTCCCGTAACACTTAAAGTTGCATTAAGAACTAGTTTTATTAAAAGCTCAGCAATTTTTATGGTTTCTATCTTTAACTGCAGTAGAGAAAATCGATTTATTGCCAGTATTCCGGTACAAAATAAACTCACAGTTAACTATACATATGCTTCCCAATCAGCAACTGTAAAATTATCAAAGACAAAGATGTATAATAAAGCAGCTGACAGGAAGATTTTAAACGAATTTTAAAACTGTAACCATGTCATCTTACACATTTAACGGACAGGTAAATTGATGACAAGCATACCGATATTGAAAACAGTCAACAATGAACTCACTTGGATGTGGGAACCACTATGACAATGATACATGTGACGGTATGTGCATTTTTCTATTTTATCAAGTGATGGGTACACTTTGAATACAAATGGAAGTTTAACAGTGAAATGTACTGGTAAATATAATTTTATTTTGGACCAGACTATTAAAAAATCCCAAAAATAACTTGAGAAAAAAGCCCCATTTACATAAAACTAACTCATCTCTAATGGGAATCTATAATTTGATTCTTTCAGTGCCTCAGGACTGTATTGGTTGCTCTTTCTTACCAAAATTAAAAGTTCTGAGACAAAAGTGCTCTCATTCGTCACTTTTTCGTCACAGAGAATGGGATTGAAAATAATCTGCTTTTCTGCTCTATAAAGATTCTTACCTGAGGCCTCAAATATGCTGTCTATGCACTCACCATATGATTACTAGGAATGATTGCTACAGTGGTCTGTCACAATGCTATTGTTCAGTGGGATGTGTGACTCAAAAGTGCAGTACATTGTATATTACACAATGTGCGCATACATATTCACCCACGTGTACTTCCTCTAAACTATTACAGTGAAGTTTATTTTGATGTTGATCTTACACAGGATCTTCCTTCCTGCACACACTGGAAAAGCTTGAATCAAATGAATAACACTACAAGTTCAGCTACTATTGAGCACATGACATGCAATCAGCTCATTAATATTATTCAGTATATTTGATGTTTGCATATTTTGGAATTAATGTTGTGTAAAAGCAGTATATCTCACAGGTATCAGCAACTCTCCTAACATGGATCAGCTGCTGGAAATGTATTGAACATTGTATCCCCAAGTGACACTTCTCTTCATTTGGAGACTTTTCAAGCAAAAAGCCAAGGAACTATTTTGCTATTGCACATGTATTTAATTACCATAATGCTTGCCTCTTTCAAATGCCAATACACTAAGTGGTACTTGATATGAATTTCCTGCTTTGCCTAGCATGAGTATATAGCAATCTTATTACATTCAGTCCACTAGAAGAACAAATTCCAGAGGAAAAGTCTTTTCCAAACAGCACACAAGTTCTGGTGCTAAAAAGCAAGTTAGGATGATGCCAGTGAATAATTGCAGGTACTGAAATCACAGACCTTGGACAAACTGGTATCACAGCTCAGATGTCCACTCCACCCCGGATGTATGGGTCTTTGAGCAGCCTGTTGTTCAGCTCCTGGACTAAACCACTGCTGGATTCAGTGTGATGAGTTGGGAGTGTCACAGGAAAGGTTAAACCTAAACCTTGGCTGAAGTGGCAATACCTTGTACAGCACTCCTCCTTAGTCACTCTGCTGGAAGTCCCAGGGTGAATGTCAGCCTTCTCCACTTACCAGCACCACTGAGGATCAAATCCATTTTTAGCTTAGCAATATACTAAGGCATATACCAAAAGTTTTGGGGGTCTACCACAGTGCTTGCACAAGTGTTAGTTTTGTAGGTGAGGCCACCAACATAACAGCTAAATATCTTAAAATCAACTATTTTCTATGACACATTCACATTAAGACATGGTAAAAATTCAGCACAGCAATAGTTTTAGTGGCAAAAATCCTATTCATAGGACTCTGTAAGAAATGGCTGTACTATCAGACCCATAAAAGATCTTATGAAATATCATTTCCATATCTAGGTACACTCTCCAATAGTTTCCTCTGACAAGGAAGTGTGTTTTGAGACTCTGTGAATATGGTCAGGCACTATATAACAGTCCTGCTGTTGAGCTCCGCCTGGAAAGGACGTGTCGACTCTTTACATGTGAAACCTGCCCTTGTGCATGTTCCCTAGTGATTTCACCAGCACATTTGGCATTTAGCACAGAAGCAAGCCTAAGGAATTTTTATGCATCACTCAGTAATTCTAAGAAACCAGGTTTTCACAAATGGTTGGGCACTGAGGTCAGTTTACTCAAACACCAAAAGAGTAAAGCAGTTTTCAATTAATCAATATAAATAATCACAAAGTGATTATAATTTAATTCTCACGTATTATAGAAAGTGACTAATCACTACAGGAAGCTTCTGGTTGGCAAATTTATTTATCCCTAAATTGATTATTATCAAGAAAGGACTGTTTTCATTTTATGGACTGATGAAATTTATTTCAGTACAAGCTACCATGAAGAAAATGAGAGAGAGATCTATTAAAAATATTTATACCTGCATTTGTATCTGTATCCTCCTCTGGCACATATAGTGAGGAAGTGAAATACTAATAGCAACCCCTGAGACATAATGTTGATATATCTCTAAACAGCATTTTTATCTTTGAAGAATTCCATAGCTGTACTTTCAAAATCATACCAATCATACTTTTTAAGCCATCTGTGAACATTAGCACTCAAGGGAAAACTACATTTTATGAGAGGCATCTGCATAAACTTTCAGTTTTTTAACATTCTTACAATAAGATGGTATTGTAGTCCATCCTTGCAGCCTGAATTGCAGACCTGTGCACTAGAAAATACATTGTAGACTTCACTTATAAACATTTCTAATCAAAAAATACTCATTATAAGCCTTCATTTCATATACAATTATTTCTCTGCAACTGAAGTGAGTAATGCAGATCCGTTCACCTGCAGCATGCTTCCTCTCTCCCCAAGGCCCAGGTCAGTGATCTCACACCAAGAGTTTTCCCAAGGACATCAGAGCTGTTTCTGAGATACTATCTAGACTTCTGAGTACTGGACAGCGGGTAAGGCAGATGCTGTTATAACCACCAAAAGCAATGGATTAAAGGCATACCTCAGTCCTGCTTTCTTACATTTCCTGTTTGGGCCTATAAACATGGCAAATTAGACACTGGCAGCTCCAACTCTGATGTGCTGGCCAGAGAACAGTTGGGTGGCTTGAGGAACTGGAGTTCTTCCTGACCCTCCCTACACACATTTCAGGAAATGTGCCTACATCTCAGGTACTGCTCAAAGAAATCACACTGTCCCAGGTGCTTAGTGAGGGCAGGCAAGCACAGTGCAAAAATAACTTTCATGCACATAAGCCCTGATACAGACAATTTCTCAATTTACATGGTGAGTACAATAATAAGATAAGGTCCCCAAACAGGAAAGCCTGTGTAAACAAGATGTCATGTAAGGCTATTGAATTCTTTAATGTGGATAGCTGGTAAGAGTTGGTCTGTTATTTAAACATCTACAAATTCTGTTTTGTTTGTTATTCAGGATTAACAGTTGCTGCAGATTTTACAGGGTATTTTGAATGGCATCCTCAGCATAGTAACAACATTGCAGTTCTTTAAAACCCCAAAATAACCCATCCCCCCATTTATTTTTAATAGTGAAATCTATTCCCTCTTTTTCTTCTATACCTTCTCTTCCCCCTTTTACAGCTGTCTTAGAGGGAAGTGAATAAGCTCATCAGTATTCAGGTATTGCTAACAGGGAGGTCACCTTCTGTTAAGCAACTCTCAATTTCAAACTTTAAAACCTTGCAATGAGTAATTTGACAAGGACACCAGAGTACATGACTACTTTGCCCCTGACTAAGGTGATGTTTTCTGAGTGTAATTCTATTTACAAAGTATGAGAGGAGTGATTCCTGTGAAGGGGCAAATTCTACTTTTCTCATATGTGCAAACGGTGGGATGTAAACCAAGTGTCATGAAGGTGGAAGCACAGGGGAAAATAAATGTGGATCTGTAACTAAGCAGAGCAAGGTAGAAAAAAAAATGCTCAAGGTTAGGATTAAGCCTTTTAGAAATTAGCCAGGACTTGCTAATGAGGATTCTTTTAATGACACATTGTATTCTGCTTGACTAAAACAAGAGTAGCAAGACCAAGAGACATAGAACTAACAATTGTAATAGTGTGTAACACTGTCTTTTTGATAAGATCAAATTCTTCGCTTCTCTACTGTCTTCTTGCTTCACAGTTCGCCTTTGGGAACAGAATGGTGAGGCAAAAAATTCAAAAGTACAAAAACATTTTTCTCACAACGACTGTAGACATTTCCTGTGCTGCTGAGTTTACTGTGTACACAGTAGAACACTGGTTCTGTTACTATATTAGTATGTTCCAAACTCTGGTTTGTAAGAACATACAAAGTGATCTACAGCTACTCATGAGTAACTCATGAGCTACTCATGAGT